CCATTATTTCTTTAAGTTATTTTTTAGTTCTAATCTTTTTCTGCTTCCAGGTCTCTGATAATACAGATGTTGACTTTTGTTTCTGTCAGAGGTCCACAGCCCAGTCCTTTTTCTTTCTTTTCATGGTGTCTTCCCCAGTCTCTTTCTTCTGTTGTTCAGATTGGGTGAATTCTATTTATATTTACTCAAGTTCACTGGTCCTAATCTGTCACCTCCATTTTACAACTGTGTATCTCTGATGAACTTTTCTTTAAATTTGTTATTGTATTTTTTAAATTTATAACTTCTAGTTCTTTTTTTTCTTGATGTTCCAATATTTCATTTGTTTCAAGAGAATTTGTAATTGATCATTTGAAATTACACATTGAATTTGAAATTTTTATGATGCGTGCTTCAAAACCCGCATAATCCCAACATTAGATTTGTGTTCATTCGAGTTTTAATTTTCTTGGATCTTGGTGTGATGGGTGAGTGCCAGTTGTGTGTTGGATGTTCTATTTAAGTCTTTTATTGTAGCAAGCAGTCACTGTGGTTCGACTTGGCACACAAATCCTGGCATGCTTGGTGGCTCTGGCACTAGCCAGTTGACTTCTAAGAATCTGTTTTACTTGTTCTGTTTGGTTTATATGATTCTACTGATCCTTGCATGTGCTGCTTATAAGTAACAAAATGTCCTCTTATGTCACTAAGCATGTGGTAACGTGTCATGGAAGCAAAGGAATCTGATGCACATGTGTGTGCACATGTAGGGTGGGGGTCACTGAGAAGAATCAAGTGTGCATGCCACTTGCTCTCCATTTCTTTGCCTGATAACTCAAGAGTCCTTTAGGTTTCATCTTAGGGGCATCGCTGCCAGACACCTCTGACCATAACTCTCTCCCCAAGCCCGGCTTGGGGGTACTGCCTTTAGAGGCTCCCTGGAATCCTGGGTACATAAAAGAGCATTTTTAATTTTATACTGTACCTGTAAGCATGTTCCCTCTCCTCTTAACTGTAAGATTTAAAGATGAGGGTCATTCTGCATTGCTGTGCCTAGGATGGTATCCGGCATGAAGTCTTCACTGATACATGCTTGTCCATTACATTACTTAGCCTGAATGAGAAGGCAGAGTATTCCTCAGAAGCATCTGACTTACCTACTCAATTTCAGGCCAACCTATGGAAATCATTCCTGCAAGGTATGCTTCAGAGCTCTCTCATGATCCCATGTGTCTATTGCTAAGCTTTTGCCAGAGCTGTGACTGTTATAAGGACCTTATACTTACAGGGAGTCCAAGTTAAATAATCTTGGGAATGGCATTACACAGAACTTAGTCCAACAAAAACAAGGAAATTAAAGCTCAATAGAATTAAATGACTTGCCCACATCATGAATCTGGGACTCAAATCCTCACCTGCCGGCTCTGCTACACCATCTCCAAGCCACCGCAGCTCTCCCAGCTCTCCCAGCTCCACCTGCGGCCGGGGTCGCCCCATCCTCTCAGCCTCTGCTTCAGTCCTCACGACTGTTTCCCAGTTGTGAATTTCACTTTCATCCAATTCTGCCTTTAGCCTCAGCTGAAAACACAAAAATGTATAGGGATTGGCAGCATTACTTAGTTTATTTTCCAGAAAATATAAATTGGAAGGAAACTTTAAAATTTTTCCTAACTATGAAAGGAACATAGAATCTTTGTAGCTATCTTAGAAAATAACAAATGTATGAAGAGGAAAACTAACATCACTCATTATTTTGCTGTCTACAAATATCTACTTCTAACATCTCAGGTTTATTTTTTCCTATTTTTCTATTTAATGCATCTTTAATTAAAATAGGGATAACATAGCATTCATTCTTCTCCCCATTTAATATTATACATAGCTTTTCATTTCATTTGTGATTATTCAAAAACATTTTTAATAACTACATCGTATTCTAGCCTAGGAAGATACTGGAATTTATTGAATCATTCCATAATTTTGGACACTTTGAATATTTAGTCATTCTGATTATTTCCTAAAGAATAGATTCTTAGAAAAGAAATTAGTGGATCAAAAGATGTGAATATTGTATTTCATAATTTCCTGTTGTTTCCATAACATTATCACAAATCTAGCAGCTTAAAGTAGCTCTTACTTTTGTCTTAGAAATCTGCATATCAGAAGTCTGGCCGGCTGGGCAGACCTACTCTGCTGGGTCTCTCAGGCCTCCGGCAGCTGCTGGTGTCCCCGGCTCCTACGTGCAGGCTCAGGGGGATGGTCGTTTTCTAGACTCAAATATTTAAGTTTCTAGAATTCATTTCCTTCTGTTTCCACATGGTCTCCTTCATCATCAAGCCAGCAACGCAGATGGAGTACCTCTCATGCTTTGAATCTGACTTCAGCTGAAGAAAGTTCTTTAAGGCTCATGTGATCAGATTACTCAGTATAATCTCCCCTTTTTAAGGTCTATACTTCAGTAACATCTGCAAAGTCCCATCTGGCACGAAAAGTAATATATTCTTGGGTTCCACAGATCAGGTGTGAACTTCTTTGGGGGCCATTTGCCCACTACAAACATTTCTAGGGATCTTCATAAATAGAGCCAAAATATTTTCCAGGTAAGCTAAGATTTCTGCCACTGGCATTGAATGATACCAACACAAAATACATTATCTTTTCATTATTTTAGTAATATGACATACATTTGTGTTTACTTGCCTGTCTTTGATTTATAGTGAGGTCAAACTCTTGGAAATACTCATTTACCATTCATTTTTCTTTGATTTAATGTCCATTGCCTATTCTTCTATTAGAGGCTTAGTATTTCCCATATTGATTTTTATTCTCTTCGTACATTAAGAATATTTTTTTTGGGGGGGTCCTATGTTTTTTTTTTTTT